GATGGCAAGCAATCAGCGCCGCCCATGGACACTCGCAACGGAGGAGTTACGAGTGCGTTGCCGACCTTTTAGGGATTAGGGATTTGAAGATTTAAGGATTGAGGAGGGATTGGGGAGCGGAAGGATTGGGCCTCTGGTAACCTCACTCCCACGGCGAAACACAACGCTGTGGTTATTTCACGCCGGTTTTACCGGTACAGCATGAGAAGCGGGTTCCCTGACCTCCGGGCCACCATGTTGTTAATAAGTATTTAATTAATAAAAGCATGTCAAGGAAGTTACCCAATCAATCCATGGTAATTGGTTCTATGTTCTTCACGCTACTACACTTGAAAGGTAGTCTCTTGGGTAACTCACCTTAAAGTAGCGGATACGCCTTCGTTTTTATTAGTTGTTATAAGTTTAATAATATTACGGTACGTTTCCAAATTCAATAATCTTTTGAAAGTACAATAATTAGACTTCTCTTCATATTGTTTTTGCAATATAGTATTTAATTGTGGTAGAGCCATGCTTCGGCACGAATGGGTCGGCTCGACCGGAGTGATACCACGGCCTCACAGAAAACGAACAAGGCGAGAAACAAACAAGGCGTTGTGTTTCGCCGTGTGAGTGAGGTTACCGAAGGCCTAATCCTTCCCCTCCCCAAATACCTTCCCTATCCCTAAATCTCCCAAATCCCTAATCCCCAAAAGGTCGGCAATGCACTCGTAACTCTTCTATTGTCGGGGGTGTCCATGGGCGGCGCTGATTGCCTATAATACAAAATGGTTATAAAAAATCTATCGTCATATTAATTAAGGAGATTATGATTAAGTGTACATTTATACATACATAGATATTGTATTTAAATGTCAAAATAATTTATTTTTGACCTAACTACTACTCTATTATTATAATAAAAACAAGAATTTATTGTAATAAACAAACAAGTTAATGATATGTAATTCTTTTAATGTTTTTTGCTGTAGGTATTATATTTGAATAGTGTTTGTTGTTAATAACATCAATATAATAGTAAATTTTTTTCACGTGAGTTTGAGTGCACAGTTGAGGCGGTGGCTGGAGAACTGGCTGTCGTGAACCGTGTTGAGGGTTCGACTCGGAACATCTCTGTGTGATCCACAAATTGTTGTTCCGGGTCTGGAAGTGATGTTTTTTTCATTATCTTCACCCATTAAGATTTGATTTGATTGTTTGTTAAAGTCGATTTTAATATATTCGGTTTCTTATTTCACAACATTACTTATACAGGATGCATAATTGTAACGGTTAAAGTAAACGCTGCCTTTGTGTGGCCAAGGCCCTACAGCTAAAAACAGTATTTTAAATTCAACGTGTTAACTGAAGCCCAATTGTCTGTGTCTCCCTACCCATGAAAGGGTTGAATCCCCCAAACTTCTCGCCCTCGGATGGTGTAGATGTCTATGGGCGGCGCCAACTGCTTACCTACCATCAGAATATTCTCGTTTGCCAATTTTTCGTGTCCAATAAAAAAAAATAAAGTAACAATCTCCGATTTTAATGACTATATCAAGCTAAAAATATATTATTCTCGTTTTTAACAAACATCACGTGCTTCTTGTTAACCGGTTTTAAAGTTCAGACGTGAACACACCTCACTTTATCATATCGAAATAAAAACTGTCTAAAGAGAACTAAATAAAACAAAAGTTCATTAGCATAAGGCGTTTATGCAATTTTGTACCGTATTTCTATTGTTGTAACCTTGACATTTGATTCATGAAATCGTTTATCTGATTGTAATTTTTTCTGTAATTTATATGCAATTGTGCAACGCGTGTCATTTATATTATTACGGAACTCAAAATTGCACACGTTGCTTAAATAACTGTATATTAAGTAATTCTTATTAATCGAATGAATGGATGAATGAGTGAGTACAAAAATAAATTTACAATTTTGACATTGACATTCGAAAACTTATGTCAAAAGTGTTTATGTCAATTTTTTTTGAGCTGGTATGATTAGGTACTGTTTCTATCAATTTGTAGGAGGACAAGGTCAAATAAATTTTATCTCTCATGTTAATATACAAAATGTGTGCTTTTATCTCTTAAAATATTTATGTGCTTTCTACACTCTGGGGTCAATCTTTGGGTTTTTTGGAAAACGCTGTTCTAAAACTTAAATAGGTACTTATTCAGTCGAGTCTGATTTCGACTCAGTGCCGACCCAAGGAAAAAAGAAAAGAAAACACCAATTCTGCAACAAAATAGTTTTTATGACTAAATTCACAAATTATAGGATTCAGGCACTTGACTCAGACAAAAACAAATATTACGACTTCACAATGCAATAAAATATAAGAATATAAATAAAAAATATATTAATTGATTTAACTATATATTTAATATTCGTATTTATCACAGTATTTTTCCATTAATTAATATGTTTTATTAATATCAATACTACACAACATTCTTAGCAAACTGTAATTTTGACAGATCGATGTAAGTGTTGAGTTTGACTGGTTTTTAATCACTCAATTGTGTATTCCACCCAGAACTAAACACACAAATATATTAAAGAAACCATGCAGGATTTGATATTCCTTAAATTTCACAAATAAAAAAAGTAACTAGTTTTACGCGCACCCTGACCATGAATAAGAGTCCCGTTATGACTTGAAACTAGTAGTTTAGAGCTTTTCCTTAGTTAAGTCGTTATCCATTCAAACTATCCAAACTAATATTATAAATGCGAAAGTAACTCTATCTGTCTTTTCTTCACGCCTAAACTACTGAACCTATTTGTGTGAAATTCGGTACCGACATAGTTTGGAACTCGAGAAACGACAAAGGATAGTTTTTAAACCAAAAATCTGCAGTAAATCACTATACCACGCGAACAAAGTCGCGGGCTAAAGCTAGTTTTCAATAAATTTAGCATGCTACTCGATAGTTAGTATCCAAAAATAGCTTATTTTGGCAACTGCCATCTTGTAGGCTTTTCTTAACGATAACTTTATCGTGTCATGTTTTATCTATTAAGCAAAGTAGGAAGCAAAGATTATGTTAATTTAATACAAACGCGTAATTTCGCACCAATATTTGAATAAATACGTTATAGTATAACTACATATTTTTTTGAAGTAGCAAATATATATTATAAACGACTTATTTACAGTAAGCAAATACATTTTAAATATATCGAATTCCTTCTATTAATTTATACGTCTATGCTTAACGTTATTTAAAAAAAAAAACGTTATCTATGTCTGTAGATAGATTTCGAAAACGTGATATCGTATTAAAAACAAAAATAAAACATCGCGCGATCATCCAAGGTCGACCACAAAGAATAATTTGCAAACTTATTTAAATAATTACAATTAAGTATAATAAGCAATCAATTGCTAAAATATGTAAAATAATCTAGCCATTAATCATTTTAATGGTTTTTTGGAGACTGGCGACACTTCAAAGGAAATAAAAAATAAAAAGCTATAATAACTAGTAATGTCGACTTCACCGAAGTCATAGATGTCGCTAGTGTGTTATTGAGTCTACCATCCTAATGGTTCTTGCCAAAATATTGTTGTAATAACCGCCCATATTCAACATCATTTTTAAATATTTCTGTAAAAAGACACTAAATAAAATACAAATAATTATGAACCGCGTGGGTATGTGTTTTTTTTCCAAATATCAATTATTCGTATTCTTCTGTAATTTAGCAAAATTGCAAAAAGTTGCATCTAAAATGAACAAGTTCGTTCAATGTTGTGGCCAATAGTTCTTCTGAGTCCTTATTTGGTAATTATCTGTTAGGCAAAAAGGCAAGTACCAAACACACCTTTGCTTACCTTCCAACGAAATATATCTGTGCTTATTACTATAGCCTTATTACACCAGTATAGGTTGAAGTGCTGTCCATGCGCACATATGGTGCAATGCAGTTGGCCAATGGCGGCCTTTTAGCGAAAAATTAGCATACTCTAACAAAACACTAGTTATATGCGGCTTGACACAGATTTTCAACCTAAAATATACTTTTATCTGATGCCACTTGCGCTGTAGAGAAACCAGTGTACAAGTGTTTTTTTTTTCATCTGCGACTTACACTGCCTAATGTTTATACATGACTTTTTTGCTCTGTCCAATTTAAAGTTTAGTTTTTTATTTATACTTTGCATTTGTATTTTAGAACAATAGATGTTTTGGGTCATAGCTGTTGTATTAAATTAATTAGATTTAAATATACATTCCATATATTATAATTTGTATACGTAACATTCGATGGGTGCATTTTACGGGCCCCTGGGTTGACTTGAAACTCGTCAAGCTACTTCGTCGTACGCGAGAATGGGAAAATTACCATAATTTCTATAAAAAGGAAATACAGAAAAGTGTAGACGTGTAACAAAGCTCTGGCCCATGACCATTTTATGTAGGAAGGAAGGCATAAGAAGAAATTGCAAAGCACCAACTACCAAGCTCTTTAGTTTCCTTTTAAGACTGATCAATAACCAGGCATTGATGACACGGTTTTTTCATCACTTTCTTATTCTTGGTAAATCGCTAAATCGTACCGCAGAGCACAAGATGGAACGGGATGGGAGTTAAAAAAATGCTTAGAAGATTATGAATTAAAATATAGTATGGTATTTCAAACTTTATATCTCTCGTTCCGACCAATTCGTTCTCACCTTGGTCATGGGCCATATAAATCACGTCATGCGTTCAATGAAGAATTTGAAAGCAAAAGTGCTTAGTGAGGGCTCAGAGGGTTTTCGCTTACTGAACTATCAGATGTGTTTACTTGAAATGAGAGAAGTTAGCCCGCTATCACATAATCACTACATAGTATATGCTTCCTATGTCCCTAAATCCCTATGTATGCTTAAATCTTTTAAACTTAGCAACGGATTTTGATGCGGTTTATACGTATAATAACACCTTTATATAGTAAAGAAATTTACTTTCGCTAGTGCTAAAATAAAGGACCTTATTTTCATACAGGATCTGTCTTTCCAGGAACATGGAGGTGATAGGCATAATGGGTGAGGGCCGGGAAGACGCCTGGGCCCGCACCATGCAACCACCCAGACTCCTCATGCAGAGGGTGCACATACCTTTTACCTTTAAAGTACAGGAAAACGCACCTATAGGATATAATGGTAAGTTTTTACCTAAATACTATTAAATCTTTTGCAAGTAAATGGATCCGCTTACATCAAGCAGGATGGAGGTCCAATCCTTCCCCTCCCTATATATTGATAAGTGGTAATCCAGGGTATCACTTGTCTACATATCAAATTTCAACCAAATTGGTCCATCAGTTTTCGCGTGAAAGAAAAACAAACATTCATTATACATTCTCACAAACTTTCACATTTATTATATTACTTAGGACTGATTTATCAATGGTTAGATAAAAGTTACCTGGGGAATAATTATAATGCTGTCGCGTCATAATGTTGGTATAAGACAGTGACAGCAACAATTTTATTCCTTAGATAACATTTTTCTGGCTATTGATAAATCAGGCTTAGCAGGATAAGTAATTGTGTATAAAACAAAATCTAACTACCTATGTAAGCTCAAACGCAATTAATGCAACGCGGCAAGACTCTTAAGAAAAAGGAGCGAGGTGACTTTTAGTCAGTACCTAAGAGTCTGACACTCCCTCATCATCCTTCCATTCAGACTCGAATATTTTCAATCTTCGAAAAAACGTATGCAAAAATTATCTCCAAAAAATGATGACAGGTTTTTATTGCAAAAGTTTAATGACACATTGTAGCCGCGGGCAAAAGGTAGTGTTGATATGAATGACCATGAAATTGTAACATATAATATGAAGTTATCTATATAAATATGTTCTTATTTCCTTATTAATGTTATTACTATAATATGTTTCCAATAATGCTATCTTTAGATTTATATTAAAAACTTCCTATTGGATTTAGTGAGACTACTTTCGATGCTTCAAGGCCTACCGGTCTGGACTGGTGCTAGTTGTGAAATTTCGCCGTAACTGCATGTCCATAGTTGTTACTCTAGCATCAGAACTGTTTTTCTTGTAATAAAACCGAGTAATTGACAATTTTTATCTTTAAACTAGCTGCCGCCTGCGGCTTCGCACCCGCAAGTAATGTATCTTGGTATTTTTTTTAATCTGTTGTCCCGAATTTTGCAATGTCCTGTTGCAACTAAACTTTAAGTTTACTAAGGTACCTGCATGCCAAATTTCAATCGTCTAATTTGAGCATTTTTCTCACAAAAGGCCTTTCCCGCGAATTCCCCTTCCCGTGGGAATTTCGGGAATTCCTGTCTTTGTGCAGCCTTACGGTACCTAAGCTACGTCCCTTTCAAATTTCAAGTGCCTACGTTGAGCCGTTTAGGCTGGGCGTTCATATGTCAGTTAGTCAGTATTACAGTCATACTACGACAACTATATACTAATCTCCAAATTACAAAAAGCATTTCTACGTTTGAGCGATGAGGTCTTTACCAAAGAACAGCTCTAAGTAAACATGACACCAATTAGTCTCCTCAAAAAACAGCTGCGAATCCATGATGACATCATAACACGAATAAATCAATCAACAACCCCATTATTAAAATTGGCTCAGCAATTCCGTATATCAAACGGACAGATGTGTCTACAGACTAACTAAATAATACATCGTTTGGCAAGATGACACAACGTATTGCCAATTAGGTCACAAGATGCAGTCTGTGATGCAAGTTCCCCGGTCATTACGGGTAATATCCTAATCGATGTGGTCACACTCTGAATTCAACCCTGCTACTCATATCATAGGATATGTTTTAGTATGACTGAGTTTTCTTGCAAGTGTATAGTGCTCAGAGTTGGTGTCTGCAGGTAGGCTGGATTTTGATTGGCTAGATAAACGTGTTTTATACTAGGTCCATGATACTAGTTAAAGAAGTGCTGGTTGATATACTAGGCTTAGTTCGATAGTTTTCTCTCTTGTCAGCGTGCTAAGGACGTGGAAATGTTACCTATGGAGATGTAATGGTTACTTGTGTTATTATAGGAATGTATCACGTATTTGTAAGTACATATTGTTTGAAACGGGGTATCCGTTTTTTTATTTAAAAATTTACCCCACGTGAAATATGAAGTCTAAGTTTGTTATGACAAATATGTATATACTTACAGCTTTTATCCGATTTGAACATGAGAACAAAATAGCCTCTAGTTTCTTTAATATGTTTTTTACACTAGGATTTTCTCCTGTGTCGTGGTTTTTCAAACATACAATTTAATATACGAATCAGACTCAGATTCGTAACAATTTTTTGATTACACGATCCATTTGAATTCGCGTTCCGATGCACGGCAGAGAGTTGCCCGGCCACCGCGTCTAATCTGCAATCAAATCGTACCGACCTAATCGAGACCTAATTAAGAATTAAGATTAAGATCCTAAATGGATGTCCTTTATCTAATAGATGATCAAGAATAATCCTTATTTATACTAGCATAAAGAGTGAAAGTTGGAAACGCCTATCTGCTAACCACTTTCGCCCCCTTAAGGACTAGTCATAAACGCGTTTAAGCCAGTTAAACCTCAACCATTCGCGTAATCTGTAACGTAAACGCGAACGTTACAGTTTTGTACTTCATACGAACTTGTTATGCAGTATTTAGATAACCATTTTATCGTTACGATAACTTACTATAAAATTCTTTAATGTCTAAGTGTCGATGACCTTTGGTTTAAGTACCTATGCTATTTTTGCCGTATATTTTATGATTGGTTCGCGTCATTTCAGTGTTTCGCGCATGCAAAGGTGCTAACAGTATTTCAATTTGTTTTTCATCTAGGAAATCAATTCTAGATAAATTTTAGACTTTGTATTATTACCTAAAATTTGGTCTAGGTTTAGACTAATGCAAATATGACTTGTTTGTCTTTAAGTTATAGAATAAAACCTGTTTTTTTTCTAAGTAATGTAGAAGACGTGTTCAGATTTTATTGACAAAACTGGCTTTTGCCCGCAACTTTGTTTGCGTGCAATAGAGACTTCATGCAGATTTTTGGTTTAAAAACTACCCTGTGCCCTTTCTCGAGTTCCAAACTACGTCCGTACCAAATTTCATACAGATAGGTTCAGTAGTTTAGGCGTGAAGGAAAGACAGGCAGACAGACAGAATTACTTTCGCATATATAATTGTATTAGTTTGGATTAAATGCTTTTGTCACTGTCCAATAACCAGGAGAATAGTTTGATCCTGAATTTGATTTGAACTGGCAGCAACGCGGTCTTTGATCATCATGAACTCTCTAAACTGATGTCTCCAACCCGCCATGCTAAGCTTAGAGTATTTCAAACCAACTTACTGCATCAATAAATGCCATTGGCCGGGGCTGCGTTGCAATCGCAGTAAGGTACGCAGCCTCGGCCTAAGACAGGAGAAGGAACGGGACATTTTAGTCAGTAAGCTCTCTCGCCTCTCCCTGGGCAAGAGAAGTCATTTGATGGTTTTACCCTCACCAAAAAAAACTGGTTGCTGATGATAATAAGACCTCGGACATCATCATTTATATGTAGGTTAGCACGGTTTCGACAATAATGGGTCAGCTCATCCGCAGTGATACCACGGCTTTACTGATTACCGGCTCAATTAAACAACTCCTGCTTTGTATTTCGCCGTTTCAATTAGGTTATTGTAGACCCAAATCCCTCCCTTCCCTCTCTCGTCCCCGATCCTCAAATTGCTAACCCTACGGCGCCCATAGCGCGGATTACTTATAATCAGATTATCCATATGCTTGTTTCTCGACCTAAACATTATGTAAGTAAGTGTGTATTAGCAACTGTTTCTCGAATATTCTTTTTTCATTTACCAAAAAAAGTTCTGTAACAATTTGAATGTAACACAACATCATCATCATCATCATCATCATCATCAGCCGGAAGACGTCCACTGCTGGACAAAGGCCTCCCCCTTAGCTCTCCACGTCGAACGACAAGTTGCCACGTGCATCCATTGGCTCTCCGCGACTCTGACGATGTCGTCGGTCCACCTAGCGGGAGGCCTGCCCACACGACTTGTAACACAACATTACATACGAAATTGTTATTAAGTATTCATTAAACTAGGATATATCTAAGTAAACGGTTGAAGAAATGTGCCGTCAACCGCGACCGCCAGTGTCATGGTTCATGTACAATGTAGAAAGCGAATCACTTTTTATAAAAACTATTGTTTATTCTGCCTACGACACGGCACATAGCTGCGATAATACATGCCTTTTTACCAGTTACAGTCATGCTTCGGCACGAATGAGCCACTTAGATAGTGATACCACGGCCTTACTGAAAATTGGCGTAAAACAGAGTCTGCGTTGCGTTTCGCCGTTTAAGCGAGGAAAAATCCTCAAATCCTTAAATCTCTAACAGCCCACAAAATTGACTACACGGTTAGCGCGGTGGCTGGGCAACTCGGTGCCGCGCAACGTGTCGCGCGTTCGATTCCCGCACGGAACAACTCTTTGTGTGATCCACAGATTGTTGTTTCGGGTCTGGGTGTGATGTGTATGTGAAATTGTATGTTTGTAAACTTGTAAACGCACCTACGACCCAGGAGAAAAGCCTAATGTGGGGCAACGTTTTTCAGGAAAAAAAAACAAAGGAAAATGCCGCCAACACTCCTATAAGTGTCTTATGGTGTTGTGAGTGTGCATGGGCGGCGCTGATTGCATACCATCAAGTGATCTGTTTCTTCTTTAACGGATCCATCTTATAAACAAGAAGCATTAATACTTCTTGACTGTATTATGACATTTGCATCAATTCGATGATGACAGAAACAAAAAAAATAGTTGGTTGAACTCTCCTTTTAGTTGATATTAGAAGGAAAAAACGAGGTGTAATCAATGAACGTGTGGGAATCACAAGGCCAATTATCATTGTCTGGACAATTTTAGCGGCAGACTAAATGACGACATCAGTAAGTCTAGAACATGAAGCCTTGTATAGTGTACCTAAGTTTATCTAATAGTTTTCGCACGCATTACGGGAGAAAAAATGTTGGATGGCCATGTAATTTTTTTTCGATGAAACTTTTGTACGTAATGATCGTTTCCTGTGTTTTAGTGCCTTTTTAAACATAATTCATCACTTTGTGGATCCAAAGTTA